GGGGGGGGGGGGGACACACACACCACGCAGGGAGGAGGAGGACAAGGAGAAAGGGAAGGACAAGCCGAAGCTCACATCAGCAGGCTGGGGGAGGAGAGGCTAGGAGAGGGGGGGCTGGCTCTGCCCGCGTCCTGGCCCCCCCCAGAGAAAGGGGGCACCTGCTGGCATGACGCTGCTGCTGACCTCAGGCAGGTGGCTGGGGAGGGGGGGGGCATTGGCCAGCTTCCCATAGGCAATGGGTGTTTTCTGGCATTGGGGGGTGGGAAGAGGAGGAGAAGCGGTAGGGTGGATGAAGCCTCTTTGGGAGAAAGGAAAGATGCCCAAAGCCCCAAAGAGGTTTAAAGAAGGGAGCCTTTCCTAATTCCAAGCGAAGACGGTAAAAATCCTAAATTCCTAGCATTGGGCGAGGGGATTAAACCCCTTTAGAAAAGCCCCCCCAAAAAAGAGTGGGGTTTACAGGTGGGGAACATAAAAAGCCATAAAGGAGCCAAGCAGGTAGCTGTCATCCAAAGACCCCTTTAAAAACAAGGGTGTTTTTTTTAAGGGGGGGGGGGGTTGTCCCAGGGCAGTGTGGAAAATGCCGGGGAGGAATGGGGGGGGGAAATCAAGGTATAAAAAAAGGGGGGGCAATGACAGCTGCCCTCAGGAGGGGAAGAGGACGGAGAAGAGGAAAAACCCGTTAATGCAGGAAAGATTAAGATGAGGCAGGGAAGGGGAGGAAGGATAGTTATTTTTTCCCCCTTTTGCTTTTGCGAAGGGAGATTGCAAGGGAGCCCCACAGAAGAGAATCGGAATCGCTTTTAAGGGGGGTGGGAGGAAGGAAATTAAAACCTTCCCACCCCCAAAAAGAGACCTGGCCTGAGGATGAAAAGGGGGACCGGGTAAAGGAGTTCCCCCTTGCCCATCGCTCTCTTTACATCCTGCCTCTCTGCCCCGGCTTTAAAGGCAGGGGAGGGCAAGGCGGCCCTTCCTCGAAGAAGCCTCCGGAGATGAAGAGGCTTGAAAACGAGGCGGGTGGGGTGGGGGGGGGGGAAAGGGGGTTGACAGGTCTTTGCAAAAGGGGAGAAAAAAAAAGGAGCGTAAGGGAGGAGTCCTTCGCCTTAGGCCGCCACTGCCGCTGCCGCCCCTCGCGTTCTCCAAGCGCCGCGGCCTCAGACCTCTTGCCCCCCCACCGGCGTCCGGCCGCGACTGGCGAAGCTTCCGCGCGGCGCCAGCTATTTATATAGGACGTCTCGCGCAGGCGCTTTCTTCGGTCTCCCTCCGCCGGAAAATACATTTAAAAAAAAAAAAAAAAAAGAATGGGCGGGGCGAAGCGGGAGAGAGGAGGGAGGAAAAAAAAAAAAAAGAATGCGCGGGCGGGAAAATTTGAGGGAGAAAACTTGCCCCAAACGGGAGGGGGGGGGGGGAATGGCTGTTATTCTTGATATTGAAAAAAAATTGTTTTTTTAAATACAAGATAAGCGGTTAGAAGCCAGACATAAGACCCCCGCACCTAAATCAAAAAGATTTTAACTTAAGAACTCCACAACCGAAGTGTTGTTCTGAGACAGAGGTTGGCAGCATTTGGACTTCTCAAGGAGGGAGACCTCAATGAGGAGAGGTGGCCAACTTTTTCCTCCCACTCTGCTCCTCTGGCCAAGTTATTCAGCAGGCCTCTTTTAGGAGGTAGCCCACTTGCTGCTTTTTAGAAATGGAGCTGTCCTTTCTGAAATTTTACAGTGCTGAAATAACATAATCTGTCTAGCTTCTTTTAAAATTAAACACAGAGGTCCAGCCTACCCGCATCTCATGGCTTTTCTAAGGTTCAAAGGCGCAGGGATTTAGAAACTGGATTCAAAATTATTTTTATCCATACATTATTTGATTTATGTAGCCCCAGTAGCCTACTCTGCAGGGGTGTTGTAAGTACAAGTACAGGTCGTTCTCGATTTACGACTGCAATTGAGCTCGGCATTTCTGTTGCTAAGTGAGGCAGTCGTTAAGTAAATTTTGTCCCATTTTACGACTTTCCTTGCCACTGTTAAGTCAATCAGTGCAGTTTATAGGAAGTCCTCGAGTTACGACCACAACTGAGCCCAACATTTCTGTTAAGCGAAATGATTGTTTAAGTGAGTTTTGCCCCTTTACGATCTTTCCTGCCACAGTCGTTAAGTGAATCACTGCAGTTGTTAAGTTAGACACACGGTTGTTCACTTAATCTGGCTTCCCCGTTGACTTTGTCAGGAGGTCGCAAAAGGGGATCAAGTGACCCCAGGACACTGTGACTGTCATAAATATGAAGCAGTCGACAAGCATCTGAATTTTGATCATGAGACCATGAGGATGCGGCAATGGTCGTACGTGTGAAAAACAGTTGTAAGTCATTTTTTTCTGTGCCGTTCTAACTTTGAACGGTCACTAAATGAACTATTGTAAGTCGAGGACTACCTGTATTATGTTAGTAACACGGTTGTTAAGTGAATCAGGCTTCCCCATTGACTTTGCCTTACAAGGTCACAAAAAGGGATCACCTGACCCAAGGACACTTCAACCATAAATATGAATCGTCCCACGGTCGTGATCCCCTTTTGCGACCTTCTGACAAGCAGTCAGTGGGGAAGCCAGATTCACTTAACAACCGTGTGACTAGTAATGGCAGTGATTCACTTAACAACTGTGGCAAGAAAGGTTGTAAAATGGGGCAAAACTCACTTAACAGAAATGTTGGGCTCCATTGTGGTCGTAAACCAGGAGTACCTGTATTCCAATCCATATATCCTGATAAACCAAAGATGTGTTTATAAATCTCAACCCAATAAAGCTTATTTCTGAAACTTGGGAATTTTAAGATGTTTCAGGTTCAACTCCCAGAATTCCCCAATCAGCTTCTAAGGGATTGAAGTGAATTCTGAGCTGACGTCCATACATGCCCAATTTACAGATAATCAGAGCTGGAAGGGACCTTGTAGGTCATCTAGTCCAACCTCCCACCCAAGCGGGAGACCCTATACCATTTCTGACCAAGTTTTTAAGAAGAAATTAGATAACCATTTGTCTGAAATGGTATAGGGTTTCCTTCCTGCGGAGGGGGTTGGACTAGAAGACCTCCAAGGTCCCTTCCGACTCGTTATTCTGTTCTGTTCTGCCTTTTAATGGTGTCCCGTTCAAGTACCAATCGAATCACACCTTGCTGCCTGCTTTTTTGAGGCTACTGATCCAAAGGAGCAGATGGGTTTCTTATTTAGAGGCCTAGAACATTTATTTTGCAGTATAAAATAAATACATTATTTGATCACAGTACTAATGATTACCGAAAGCAGCCGTTTGCTTAAATGGCTTTTTTTTTTAAAAAAAGGAGAAGAAATCCTGGAATCAGCAAAGCAAATCTATGAACGACTATTACCGGTGTAAAATATTTATTTGCCACTTCTTCATGGGCTCCTGACCTCCGAGGCAGCTTCAAAGATGACAGGGATAATATTAACCAGGAACAAAAGGTCCTTTTGATAAGGCTTTTGTAGGACCTTAAAAGATTTAAGCTATTTTGAGACGCCAAATTTACCCTGCCGTGAAACTTAAAAATTAAAATTTTTGCTGCAGCTATCTTTTTCGACATCCTAATATTTCAAGGGTGAGTTAGTTACTCATAGGGCGAATGATATAGATGAAAGACTAAAAGATATTGCATTAACCGAACCCCATTTCAATGGATGGGAGGATCAGGACAGGAGATGCTGAATGGAGCCTCCAAGTTCAGGGGCAGTCTACCAAGGAGCAAGTGAACGATAGCAAGGGACAATTAAGAGTCAATAGACAACCAATCAGATCCCCCAAAACTTTTCTGAACATTTTAGTTACATATTTTTAGTGACTCCTTCAATTCTCAGCGCTTTCCCTTCTATGTCTTTGCATTGTTGAGACAGGCCAGTTTTATTGCAGTGGGCTAATTTAAAAAGCTGTGCCTCGGTAGTCCTCCAGTTACAACCATTTGCTTAGCGACCATTCAAAGTTATGATGGACCTCCCAAAACCTACAGTACTTACAGGAAGTCCTCAACCAACAACCAGAATTGAATTCAAAATGTCTTAAGTTTGTCAGAAGGTCACAAAAGTGGATCACATGACCCCCCCTGGGAGACTGCAGCCGTCATAAACGCAAGTCAGTTGCCAAGTGGATGAATTTTGATCACATGACCATGGGGAATACTGCAATGGTTGTAACTGTGAAAACCAGACCATAAGCCACTCCCCCCCCCCAGATTTCTTGTAACTGCAAACGTTCACTAAATGAATGGTTGTAACTTGAGGACCGCTTCTATACAACTTTTCTCCTTATAAGGCAAGAGAAAAACCACTGGAGGGGAAAGGAACAGGGTTATTCCAAAACAACGAACAATATCACGCTTAACCTTCATGTCCTTTGACAGCAGAATTCTCTGCCCCGATTAGGAACATTAAGCGAGAGAATTAGCTTGTATTGCCATAAGACATTTTGATTTAAAACCCGGAGACGTGGTTTAAAAGGATATAATTAAGAAATGTCATCTGCAAAAAACCAAAACACTGCAGCACATGGTGGTCCCGTCTTCTTCTAAGGACTATTACTGCTCCAGATTTCCATCGGTTTTTTTGGCCGACTCTATTCCATCTTTGCTTCTTCATTTTACCAAACGTTAGTCAAAATTGTGGTTTGCTTTGTGCGGCATCTTCAGTCCTCTCAGATTTTTTTCTGCTGGCTTTTCGGTCTTCCTGGATAATTTTTTTTTTTATAGTGGTCTAAATATTCAAAGTTCAGCCAAGCCTATTGATACCATTATTTTGTTTCCTGAGAGTCCCAATTCTTTCGGTACTCACTTCAGCTATTTGAGAGACTGAGATAATGACATCCATCTTATTGACAGGAGTCCAAAGCAAGGGAATGGTGGCTTATTTGTGACCAGCATAGTTCATAATCTAAGTTGAACCACGATCTGAAGATCTTCCTGCTTATGCTGTAGCATCCATGTTGATAGTTAACACGGATGAAAATATTCAATATAGTTTTCCAGTGTTCGATATAAAAGGAAGTTGTCTGCCAAGTATTCTGTACAATGGGCCCCATTCTCAAACCCCCAAATCTTCCCTAAAACAGGAGGAGTAGCACCAGAAAAGAATTTTTAAAAGTTCATCCAGTCCTTCCGCTATCGTCTCCATCTGTTGGAAAGAAGAAAAAAAAAAAACCCAAAAGCTTGACAACATGGCCTTGAAGTCCACACATTTGAAAGCTGCCAAGGTT